CATAACGTCGGATCCAAGTTATGAAAAAATATTCATTGAATTTTGATAGTTGTTCTTTAAGCACCTTGTACATGCTTTGCCAATATAAAACATCAGAAAGGAAGGCTAACATTATTTTATTATAACTTTTTTTTCAAAACGGTTCATAACTGAAAAATTGATGATATATATTCATCAAAATGGCTTCCCAAAACAAAATTCTAAACAAGCTGGCATTATATTATCAAATAGATCTAAAAAGCAATATCTATTATTTTTTAAAAATTTTTCTTAAAATGATCATCCAGGTAAAGCAGAATATTGCCCTATAAAAATTTTTTCCGAAAATCATTTTCTGGTTTTTCTGCATGAAAAAACATATTAATATATATTCAATGAATTTTCTGTGACATTTTCCACACGTTTTCAGTGTCGCTTTCAGTATATTTTCATAGGTCATTTTCCATATAGGAAATCTGAAAAAAAATACTGTTTTTTTGGAGTTTTTTTATAGGAATGGTTGAGGTTTCTTTGGAAGATTTTTTCTCTTTTTAAAAACCTCTTTATAAAAAAGTTGATAATACGTTTTTATGGTACATAGCTTCTCTTATATCCCGAGAGACCTAATAAAGGAACCAAATGCAAAATATTTTCTGGGATATTTGATAAATCACCATATCTCCTTTGAAGAGTAAAGATAATATTGTCTACAATAATCTGCTGATGCAAGTATTATATTTTCTGATAAATAATCATTGTGTGCAGGTGGATTGATAAAAGATAGATTGCTTGAAGATAATTATCCAAAGATTTTAATTCCTAAGGAATAAAATCAATTAATTTAATAAGTTTATGTTCTGATTTGAAAATCAGGATCATGACTATACATGAAGTCGAAATTAAAACCCACAAGTTGAAATTATATATTATAATTATAAATTTAACTAGGTTCTGGATAAAGAATATCTTTAAATGGATCTTCTACATGTTGAGGAATTTTTATATACAAATATCTTTTTCTATCATCTGTTAATGCCTCAAGAATATTTAATTGGCCATCCTTATTAAAATTATTATTCTTAAAGGAATTTTTGAGTCAGATTTTTTAGAAACATAAACTTTTCCAATATCATCACTACTCTATTAAAATGAAAATAATAGTATTTGTTTAAGTTTCTAAAATTATCAAAGTTGTACCATCTCCATTTTATATCTAAGAAGTTTATTGTTACCTTCTATTGTTGAATCATTTATAGCTTCTTCAACATGATCAACAGTATTAATACATTTATTATATGGGGCATGCTGTAACAAAACCAGACAAAGTGAACATTTGTATTACCAAGAATTTCAGGGATCAGTATTGTTTTTTAACATCACAATTGTGTTACAATATAATGTGATCATGATATTTGTCTAGACAAAAATAGTTAATATGAAGCTAATTTACATTAGGTCTACTGTGGAACCCAAAAATTACAGCACCATTAGAAGTATTTTGAAGAAGGAACAAGGTGAAAAGGTTGCCCCTTATGTATTCAAAATAAATGATACTCAACACTTGAGGCTTATCTAAAAAAAGAAAGGATTACTTATGAAATTTACCATGAAGAAAGAAAAATCATAAATGTTGGAAAAAGAAAGCATCATGATGATGCATTGCTACCTAATAAAAAGCAAAGGTCCTTAAAAGGAAAATAACTACAATTTTCTTTGATAATGGAATGAATTTCAATTTATACAGAGGGAAATTCCTTCAATTACTTTCTTATTTTCAATCAAGATCATCTTTTAGTCTCTTTAACTTCAATTTGAGCAGTTAATTGACCATTTTGTTGATCTTTTAATTTCCTGTTTTCCTCTTCTAGATGATTAATTTTTTCTTCTAAACTTTTTATCTTATCTAACAACTCTTGTTTTTGCCTTTTACCTCACTCTTCTGATTTCTCTTGAAACTTGGCTATTTCCTCTCTTTCAATTTTTAATTCTTCTTTGGTAATTGATAACTCTTTTTCTAGTTCTCTAGTTTTACTTTCTAGGCGAAAACTGAAAGATTGGGCAACTAATTCCCTGTTAGTAAGAGATTGGGTTTGCTTCTTCTTTACTTTATGACAATAACACCTACTTTTATTTCTCTTTAACCTATCACATTTCTCACATCATGGAAGAGTGTTGTTGTCATATTCCACCTTACACTCCTTACAAATAAAAGCTATGTCAGCACTACTACCATCTTCCTCTAAAGATACCATTTCATGAGTAGCAGGTGCAGTATCAAAATTTAGATTGGTTGGATCATCATAATCTACAAAGCAATAATGACATTCTTGTTCATCCCCTTTTGCTAACTCCAAAACTCTATATTCTAGCTTCATATTTATTACTTGCTTTTCTGAACAATAAGTGTTTGGAACTTCACTTGGGATTTTTCTTTTACTTTGCTTACCAGCTGTTTGATTTTTAGTAATCTGCTCTTTTTTTGTTGTTTAGGTAAGGCTGGCAGTTCTTTATCTTTATATTTTTCAATGGTTTGTTCTTTATTTTCCAATCAATGAATATTGCTTTTTAGAACTCTTATTTCCTCCAAAAGTTCTTTTTCTCTAGCATCATGTTTTGCAATTATTTCAGCTTTTTGTCATTTTTTTCATTCCTCAGATTTTTAGTGAAACTTCATTACCTCTTCTTGCTCTACAGTGACTCAAAAAACCAGCAAAATGTTTTCATTTTTTTTATTCATTTTTTATTTTCTCAACAACCACACAACATACAATAATCTAACTAATATCATTTAAAAGCCCTGGATTCCAGTATTCTAATTATATGTTTATTGGATTACTTTATTAAACAATTTTAAAAAATATTTGATCACAAAGTTGATGTATCATTTTGCCAGTTTTTTGGCTCCTTGTGACTTACATAAAATTATCTAATTGGATTTAATAAAAAAGCTTTAATGTCATTGGTTATTATTTCTATATAATACTATTCGGAGAGAATAATTCTTGAAAAAATCAGATATGATTCTATTAATAAATTTCTCAAAAATGAAGGATTAAGGCAATATATTGATGACAAAATATGGAAAGAAATATTTAAAATGCTTCATTCAGAATACAAGTATATTGAAATTAGTAAGCTTGTCTGGGAGATTTGGACTAATGTTGTAAAGGTAGGTAATTTGGACGGTTATCAAAAATTGGCTGGATCTTTTTATAATTTATTTGATTTACTATGAATTTCATAGACTACATGTAAACAAACCAGTGATGACCAACTTAAAAAAGAAATTAAAGATTATTTAAACAATTTCAAATCAAAAAATGACAATAATGATAACCAGGAGGATCTATTTTTAGAAATTTGTAAGTTTAATTAATAATATCTTTTGTTAATGTGAGACAAACATCCCTAACATGAAAAGATCATAACCAGGATCTTTCATCATTGACCCTTGAAATAAAATAATCCAACAAGCCATTATTGTCTTTATGAGATAATGACTCGATTTCAGCTTTTTTTTTCAACTTTGAGAGTTTTTGGAGTTCAGTTCTATTATATGTTATAAATTCAATTAATGATAAAATTACTTGGAATTCCAATTATAATGATAGAAATATTTTTTTTTTACCTCCAAGAACTTGGTAAATTATTATTTTTTAGTAGATCCTTGCACTTTTTTTCATCATTAATTGTCATCTCAATCAATATATTATCAGGAATGTGGTAACTAAATAAGGTTAGTAATAATAGCAGTAGCAACAGTAGTAGCATTAATAATAATAAATATCAATATAATTCAGAGATTTTTGTAACAAAAAAGGATTTTTTTACTCTTTTATATCTTTGTAATGTAACCCAATCCAATGAAAGTTTTGAATTGCTAAATTGTGATTTTCATATGATTTAGCCTAAATAGGAAAAAAAGTTTTTTTAGTTAATGCTAAACTGATTATTTAAAATGTGTTTTACCTGTGATCCGTATCTATATACATTTAAAATGTTTATCCCTGATTTATATATATGGATAGAAATAAATAAATTATAATGATTTTTATAAATAATTAATCAATAATAATTAATCCTACCATGAGGATCAAAGTCAAAAAACCCTAAAATTCTGATCACAGGTTGTAAATCATTAAACAACTTAATTAGTTGCCTGGTCGCAACATCCTTTTTCAACAAAGGTGGAAGGGAAAAAAATAAGTTGTTGTTTAGAAAGGAAGGAAATATATATTAATATGTTTGTAACTTACTGGATAACCCTTTCCCTATAAAAATATTCAAAATAAGATCCTTATTAGTTAATTCATTCATTTGTTAATTAATATATAATGTAGAGGAAAAAAACCAACTCCTTAATATTTATACAAATGTAATCATGCTAATTTGTTACTAGCATAAATAAGGAAAAAAGGAAATATTTTTGTCCCATGCTATATAATTAATATCATCCAAAAGTCTAGTCAACTAAAAAAGGTTGACTGACTAAGATGATTGATTAAGCCTCTAGTATTGACAGTACTTACGGTAATTAAAATACATGATTCTAATTTTTGAAAGATTTTGTTTGATAGCAATGTCTGAAAGGTTGCCTAGATAACAAAGTCAATTAGTTAATATTATCATTATAATTTAAGAAATAGCCACCAACCTCTTTCTCCACAACAATTATAATTTTCGCCTCACTTTCTAATTGTTTATTAGATAAAAAAATGTTAAATTAAATGATAATAATAAGTGTAAAGACATTTTTAATTTTCCAGTCAAAAAGGATATTATATTCTGTGTTATTATTATCATTATCATCAATTATTGATGGAATCAGAATTGCAGAACTTATTGAACTTTCTAAGATAATTTGATCATTTTTAAATAATTTAAAACTTCCAGAAATCAGACCTTTTGCTGAGGCAAGCTTTTCCAATTAAAATACTAATTAATTAATTATGATATTTTTTCTCATAAAATATTATTTATTTCATTGATTTTTTTTTAACCTCGTTAATTTTTTGTCCCTTTCAGGAGCCGGCTAATTCATTTAATATCCCTTTTTCATCACAACAACTAATTAGTGGTAATTGGTATTTTTTGGCTAGTTCATAGTCTGCAAAATCATGTCCGGGAGTGCATTTTAGAACTCCGGTCCCAAAGTCTATTTTAATCCTTTCATCAGTCAAAAGCGGACCAAATTCAATGATTTTCTTGTGACTTGAAAAACACAACATAGATCATCTATAGCCTTTATTATTTATTATACTTTATTGTGAATCCTACAAGAAAACAATGATTCAACAATAATACATAAATTATCAATAATCTTACCCGATCAACATGTTCTGGGTTTCCGAATAAATTTACATCACGATAATAAATACTACTATTGGTGTGTAGAAAAAAAGAAATACAGTCTACTCTCTCTATAACGACCCTCTCTATAACGACCACTAAGTAAAATTTCTCTATAACGAACTTCCCTTTTGTCCCCATTTCAATTTTTTATAATTAATTTCTCTCTCTATAATGACCATCTTAATAAACTCTCTCTATAACGACCAAAAGCAGAGAAATTACATATAGGGACAGAGGGTTCGTTATAGAGAGAGTGAACTGTATTAAGAAAGATGGATTGTTTTTTACTTTTTCTTTCTCCTTTGCATTATAATAACATAAATTTACCATTTTGTTGCTAATGTATCAGTTGTTAATAATTCATCACATATTTCTAGTATTCTTTTTAAAATAGGAAGTCTTTTTTTTTTTACTTTTGATAAAAAGTTCTCGAAGTCTTTATTGTCATTATCAACTTCATTTTTTTCAAGCCGGATCGAAATTTGCTCCTTCATTAATCTTATTTCTTTGAGATTGGTTCTCTAAATAAATTGGATCAAAATCAATAAAATTTTAATGTTATTATTATCAATTTATCAAAAAATTACCCTGTGGTAATAGAAGTTGGTATTGTATTTGTTATATTTTTGATGGCTAAGCTTGGTTCAGTTCTTAATCGTTTAATTGATGTTCTTCTGTTTTCCTTTTGTGATGAATTTTGGCTAAGGACATGAGAAATAAGATGTGAAAGTTCATGTAAGTACATCAGGAAATTAAATATAACTAGAGTGACAAGTGATGGTGGGCAATAACCACCACCACCATTTGTAAAACACTTACTCGTTTTCTTCAGCAATACCATTGTTTTTGAGTCTTCTTTTTTGCTTTTTGGCGACGACAGACATTATTATTTTTTTAATTTGAAAAAAAAAAGATACTATCGATGTGTACACATCAATTATTTATTCTATTGGTTTTTATTGGTAGGACAGACATGCGAATTGATTTTTTTTTTTGGAAAAACAATTTATTTTTTGACAGAGTCCAAAGTGACAAAACGAGCATAGTGGACATTCGTTTTATCACATTCGTACGACGATCGACAAACACAAAATTAATAATTTTGATTGGCCAATT